TCTCCAGGCAGTTCATGTCTGGGGAGTGTCCAATGCCCTGGCGGACGGTCTGCCCCGGTTCATTCTCCTGTTCACGGAATGGACAGTTGACGCCAATTTCTTCAGTTGGCTCTGCCAGACGTAGGGGCGCTTGGAGGTGAACCTCTTCACGTCAGTGTGGTCTCGGCGTCTCCCAATATATTTGGCACCGTTTCCCGACTGAGAGACTGTCGCAGTAATGCCTTTCGGCAGGACTGTTTGTGGTGGGGTTCCCTGTACCTTTTCCCCCTGGTCCAGCTGTTGCTAAGGGTTCTGGCTCCTTTGAAGGCTTACAAAGGTAGAGTAGTCCTATTGGCCCCCCTTGGTGGCCGGCCCTACTACTGGTAATAGAAGTAGTTGCATAGCTTATTAAAAATACCCTAACTCATCTATCACATACTTAATCAAGCCAATGTTTAAGGCTTATAAGGATTAAATTAACACTGAACAAATATGAGTTATGGGAAGACTGTACATTTGCTAGGTACATTCAAACAACTAAGCCATTATCTATTAATTGTAATTAGTAGCAATTAAGAATTTATTGCTTGTAACTATAATTAAATTTAATTAATAAAGTCCCCATTCTAAGGCGAATTTCCTTCAAGCACAGAAAATGGACCTGCTTGGAAACAAAGATTTCTGTATGGAGGAAAAACGCCCGCCGCTTATATTGCGTCGGCTGTGTGCGTGTGCTGGGGTACTTACAAGGAAGGAGCTGGCTCCATGCCTCCCTCATTCTCAGGGGCTGCGCTACGCGCCCATAGCCCACCCACCTCCTGGGATCTTACGTTTCCCCAAGCACACTTCCAAGGGGGTGTAGCTCAGGTGGGCGTGGCATTTAACTGTACACACTTGTCCCTTGGGCTTTCCGCCAAAACTATTACAACACAGAAGCAATAAGACACTCTCTTACCTAAAAAAAATGTATCTCCTTGTTCCCACGGGGCAACCTAAGTCGGGATCACTCGCCACACTGTTAAGGGAACTAGCCTTGGATCCTCCTCCCTTCTTGGTACAGCTCCCCGCTCCTGCCTATAGCTGCTTGACGTTGCTTACTCGGTGTCCGAACCTGCGTTGTTTTCCGCAGCTCTGCCTCTTTCAGTAGATCGGTCCAGTCAGGTACCTGGCTGGTTCGGTCTTCTTTTCCGCTCCTCGTGTCTGGTCTTTTTGACACAGGTTCATCACCATTTGTATGGTGATCGGGTGGCTTCGTTGACCTGAGAGCTTCGTCTCAGCGACAGTAGGAAGTTTCCTGGTGTTCTTTCTACCATTTTCTCTTCGTAGGTTGTCTTCTGTTTCTGATTGGGTTGTCTTGTTCTTTCTTTCTTGGCTTTTTCAGGACCTTCATTTGATGCCAAATACTGTCACCTCATATCGTGCGGCGCAGGCGGAGCTGCTGCTCCTTGTGTTCAGGGTGGATGTCTCTTTGGCCTCATTTCGTAAGCTTTCTCGTGCTTTGTTTCACCTCTGGCCTGCTAAAGCGCTGCCTGAGCCATCCCGGCCCATGGACAGGGGTGCTCTTTTTTTTCTGTCTTCTCCTCGGTTCAATGTGGCCCCTTCGGTTAAAGATTGTACTTCCAAGGCCCTCTCTCTGTTGGCATTGGCCTCTGAGGGGTCGGGTTGTGAGCTTTATGCTCTTCTCTGGTGTAGGGGGTTTCTGCTCCTTCGGTCCTGGTGGTAGGTTTGTTCGATTGCAGCCTTCTCTATCTTTTCTGGTCATGAACAAGCTGGCCATTTTCCGGAGGGGGTCCTTGGGTTATTGATGCTTGGTTTGTTAGGCTGTGGGTGCATCATGTGTTGTTCAGTTGCAGCTCTTCGCTGTTACTTGCGCGCCTTGGCTTCTGGGGACTGGGATGCACTTTGGGTTAATCTGGTTTCCCTCATTCCCTGTTCCAAGGCTCGGGTCTCCCAGGTCGTCTGCAGGGTCATCAAGTCTAGCCAGCCTGCAGTCTATCCTCGTGCCCATGACGTTTGCAAAAGTTTGTTGCTTTGACTGCTGTCTCCGGCAATATGTCCTGGGCTGACATTCGGGCGCGGGGATTTTAGAGGTCGGACAGGGTCCTGGCCGCACGTTATCTCGTCATTTCTGGTCCTAGTCGTCCATGTGCGACTTTGGGTCACAGGTTGCAGCCAGTTGTCTTGACTTTTATGTTGGCAAGCGAGTGGCGACCGACTCCCGGGTAAGGCCCTAATTAATTCTCTTTGGTGATGTAGCTCCAGGGAGCCATAGGGGCTCGGCTCCCCACAGAAAACAAGCATTGAATGTAATGAAACACACTTATCTGGGTGAGTCCTGGAGGCTCCCTGGCAGCCCTCCCTCCCTCCCTCCCTCCAGTTGGCAGTTCTGTTTCATTTTTGATGCTCAGCCTCCAAACTGGATGGCTTGGGTAGTCAGGGGACGGGGGGGAGATCTGGGGGAGGGGGAGCTGTGCAGACAGGTGGTGCAGCTATGAGGTGTGATGTTTACTTGTTTCCTTAAGTTGTAGGGTGAGTTCTGCCATTCTGTTTGGTTTTCGGTTGCATTTTCTTACCAAGTGGGGTTTGTTTTGTTATGCCTACCTTCCTGGGTGCCAACCCTGGTCGACAACAGGCATGGAATGCCCCCAACCACACAGGGGTGTCTATGGGCCATTGCGCTCTTTGCCTCTCTAAGGGGGCCAGGTTTTGGCTCATGTTTCCTGGTAGGCTGAACTCCATTGACTAGAGCCCTGGTCTAATGTATCATAGGCAGCTTCTGCTAGTTGCCGCCCTCTTTCAGATTTGTCGGTGATTTGGGATGCGCGCTCTCGAGACTCTCAGAAGGGTCATGCCAGGGCTCGAGTACCTGCTGGTCGAGGTAGGCCCTTGGTGCCAGTTTCTGAGCTGGTGCCTGCTCCAAAACAGTCTTCGTCTGGTTGGCGCTCAGCATGCAATTTGGTTTCTTGGAAGGGACACTGGCCCTTTCGCAAGTCGTCCCGTTGACGGGGCGCTGAGGGGGAAGCTGGCTCTGTTTACCCGTGCTCTGTCCCACGATTCGTGGGCGGTTCAGGCAGGCTTCTTTCCCTTCGCTTTGTTGGGTCGTCATAGTGTGCGCGCATGGTCATGGTCGAAACGACCTCTTCCCTCAAGTGAGTTTCCTGCTCATTTCCAGTGCCGAAACGGAACTGTGCGGATCTGCGGTTCATTCTGGACTTATGCCATCTGCTGAACTCCTGGATTCCTTGCCTCGACTTTCGGATGACCACCAGGTCATCCGAAAATGATGACTCTATCCCAGGTCTGGCTTCTCTTGGAGTCGGGTTTGTGGATGAGGTTTCTGGACCTCTGGGACAGGTATTTGCATGTTCCTATTCATACAGGGTTCTGGGACTGGTTAGGTTTGTTGGTCGGGGCAGCATGCTTTTCACTTTCGTTGCCTTCTTTTCAGGCTGAATCTGGCACTTCAGGTTTTCACACATCATGGTGGCCTGTCTGCGTCTGCTAGGTGTTCGAGTTTTCACCTACCTTGAGGACTGGTTGGTGTGGGCAATTTACCCAATTTACCAAGTGGTTCCATATTGGGCTACAAATCCCAATATTACAGAACATTATAATTATGACTACTGTACAAGGCTTGTGTAACAATTTTTAAAAATATGGTTCAGGTGTTGCTAAAAGTTAACCCAAGAACCAAACCATCAAAATCAAAAGTACAGTTGATTCTAAAAATTTTCATAAGTGGGCTATAAAACCCATAATGTCTATAACTAAAAGTTCCCCCTATCATTCTGAAGCTTTCATTTTGGAAAATCATTTAAATTTGCAAAGCTGTTTTCTTATGTAACTTCAGTGAAAAAGAAAATGGCTTAATTGTGTATTAACTTAATTGTGTCCCTGTCAGTCCGCTCGTCTGCTCGTCAGTGGTGTAGTTCTTTCCCAGCTCGCTGGGTTTGGGTTCCTGGTGAGCTGGAGAAAATTCCATTTGGTTCTGTCTCAGATTTGGTCTTGACTGGGCCTTGTCCGGGATTCCTGAACAGCATCCTTGTCTCTCAGGCGGCATTGCTCCAGCTGCAGTCCCGCTGTCGGCTGTTTCTGAAGGTTGTCCCAGGTCACTCGACAGTTTCTCAAGCAGCTGTGTGAAAGTTTGAACTTTGCTGTGATCGTTTATCTGCTGGGTCGTGTTTGGCTGTGACATCTGTTCTGGTTCCTTTGGTGCCGTCCCTTTTGCCGCTTTGGCGATCGATGGGTTCGTCCCCCTTGGGCCTTGCGTCGGTTGCTGCGTCCAAACTAGCTGTCCAGCGGTTGGCTGTCTGGGGGCAACGTGAACGAGTGGTGCGCAGTGTGATGACGTGTTGCTTGTTATTGTATTTTCCTTGGAGTTTCTAGCCTTTGTTCAGTTTCAGGTTGCAATTTTTCTCCGTATTGGGGTCTGTTTTGGGGCGCCTACCTTTCTGGGTGTCTAACCCCGGTCGATGGTAGACAGGATTCTTTCATACAAGGAAGTTTCATAGGCCATTTCTCCCTGTGCCTTTCTGAGGGGACCAGGTTCTGGCTCATGGTCCTCGGTAGGCTGGAACTCCATAAGACTGAAGCCCCCAGAGTAATATAGCTAATATCAGTCTGATGGCTCCAGGAAGCCTCTGGGACTCTACTCAGAAAATGGCATTTCATTACATTCAATGCTGGGTTTTTTGCATTCCCCCATCCTTATTCCGTACATTCGATTGCTCTGCAGTTTAATTTAAATATTCCTGTGTCTCTTATCATTATGGGACTGATTTAAAGGCAGAAGTGTTTCAGTAAGGCCACTAGAGCAAAATACAAGCTACTAACAGTTGGTATTGATATATTATTTTAAATAACATACTGTAACATCTAGGAATGTGCTTCATAGTAAAAATTAAGGGTATGCATTTGTTACAAAATTCAATTTGTTACATTAAATCAAAATATTACTACCTTACAATTTTTTTCATACTGGTATCTTGTTTTGTGTTGCTCATTATACATTTTGCTTGCAGCTGTGACATACGTTCCCAGTTGTGGTAGCATTCCCACTCGCTACCTCATAACTCTGTGCAAGGTGTCTTACATGAGTGACCTCAAAGATGCTCTCTGCAGAGTAGTGGGTCTAAACTCGGCAGATCATCTCATTACAGCCGAGGTTTTTGACAACCACATCGCTCGCATAGTGGTAGGAATCCAATGTTGTTATACTGTACTCTAATATGAGCATTCCTTCTCCTAGCACTTTTGTATTTGTTTTGTCTTACAAGTTAGTTTAAGCTATTCCAATACTTGGCAATGTGCGTCTTCTCCTACAACACAAGGACACATTTTTAAAGAATGGGCTAATTTTAAGTTATATGTATACATATTTTGAATTGGTACCATAACTTCCTGGTAATAATTTTTGATCTCTGAAATAAGATAGAATTGTAGTAAAATAAGTAATCTTATACATTACATCCTTTAAACAAATATCGGAAGCAAAATACAGTACTGTATGGGAAATCTCCTGGACAGGACCAAGCAATGAGACTTAACTAATGGTATATTGTCTTTTGAATGGCGATATTACATAACAGATCGGAATAGTTTTTCTCCCTAGTTTTTTTCTGCTGTTGTTCATATGATATGTTCCTCACAATATCTTGTGTTTTTGTATTTGTATTTGCTATTATTCCTTCCCTCTTAATTAAGTGGTATTAGGCTGACATGTCTTGGTTGGTCTTTGTTGTTTATCTTCATTATTTCAGGCCCCAAGCAAGTTGTAAATCTGATATTTTCAGTCTTCTTGTACCCCCTCTTTGGAATGCAGCGCTGTTGTTTTGGAGGGGTTGTGTATTCCACTGATGCAGAGTCTAGCTGGGATGCATTGAAGGGTCCCTTGTGGCCAGAGGATAGTAGACAGATAAAGTATGTTTTCATTTTCTTGTAATTAGTCGTTTGGTCCTGTTTGACAAGTGTCACAAGGTATGACAACATTATCCAGAAGCCATTATAAATGGGATGCACTTAGAAAAGAAGTTCTCAAATCTAACATTCACAACTCGGTGTACAGATTTTTCATCAGCTCAATGTGTTATACTTCAGGTAGGTGGCCCTGGACCACCAAAATTAGCCATGTCCTTGATAATATAGTTCCACCTCAAAAGATCATTCTGGGGAAAATGAATGAAGTTACCACTCGTACCATTTTCCGTGTGGGAGCCCCGTCAGCTCCCTGGAGCTATTGGACTGATATTAGCTATATTAGTCTGGGGCTTTAGTCTTAAGGAGTTCGAGCCTACTGGGGACCACGAGCTAGAACCTGGTCCCCTCAGAGAGGTGCAGGGAGCAATGGCATATGAAACTCCGTTGTATAAGAGCTGTCATGTCTGTCATCAACTGGGATTAGACGCCCAGAAAGGTAGGCGCCCCAAAACAGACCCCAACTGGTAATAAAATTGCAACCGGAGACCAAACAAAGGCTAAAAACTTCCCCAAGGTAAACAAGATAGCAAACATGTCATCACACTGTGCGCCGCCCAGTCGTGTCGACTCCCCCCACCCCCACCCCCACCCCCAGCGCCGGACCGTTAGTTCGTCGACTGAAACCGGCTGGGCTGGTTGTCTTTTCTGGTCGCAAATTACCTGACATGATTTTCACCCATGCAGTGGTACCTGCTGTGTGTTGGTGCGGTGGCCAGATGTTACGTACCCAGGGTTGCATGCGCTTAAGATTTTTTCCCTACGTGCTCTTTAACCCTTTAACTTTGCAACGCGCCTGCAGGCCCAGGCTTTGGGTGCGCAACGCGCCTCCGGGTGTTTTTATTTTTCACGTTCCATTCAAAACTCCCGCGGCTGCATGGGGTTCACATCAGCTTCCTCAGGGCTCTTGTAAACAGACGCCATCTTTAAAAAAAATTATGGTCCACATTGCCGGGTGTCAGAGCCTCAGTAGTGAGTGAGCAACCAAGGCTGGCGCTCGCAGCATGAGCGCACAGCACTGCTGTTCAGCGTGTGACCACAGCATCGCCTAATATTGTCAAAATATATATATAATCTGTTTTATTTAGCCATGATAGTATTATAGAAGAGCCCGAGTGTGATAATGACTGGGTACAATGTTCAAATATCAGTGATTCAATGCTGTTCATGATGTTCACAGCGCTAGCCACAGCACCACAGTATTATTTCGTCCATCTAGGAATCTTCAAACGACTTTTTAGGTTCCTTTTCAAAATAAACTTGTGGTCAATTATTCATTTACAGGTATTAGTGACCAGGATTGTGGTTATAATTAGCGTTGTGCGTAGGAAGGAGGAATTTTGGTGAGGAAGGGAAGAAGGGAGAGAATTGAGGTAGCCTCACTGTGTGGCAGTAACTCTTGTTTTGCTCACCATACTAGCTTTGTGGTTCGCTATGGGGAACACACATGTACACGGGTATATACAGTGTATGTGAATAGTGTAATAACAACACCAGGAGTATGTTGTGAGGAGCTATTTTGGTGAGGGAGGTGACGTCATAATCGTGGCGTCGTCTGCTGTCTGCTGTGTGATTTGTCATGCAGTGTATGGTGGCCACTGTACTGTTTGGACACAATACCGGCTTACTTGCATAGTTCTGGTAAATAAAACATGTAGATAGGTATATATAACATGTGTAAATAGTGTAATAAATACAATAACAGTATGGTGGGAGGAGCAATGTTGGCGAGTAAGATGTTGTAGTGAGGGAGACTGGCTGGGTGTGGCTGCTCACACTCGCGGTGTTCTGAGTGTGTTGATGGTGAATGTATATATTGTGTGACAGTGTATAGTGTGTACATATGTTGTAAATATACAGTACATAAATGAACTTGAAACATTGGTGTGAATAACTGTATGATTTGGAGGAGCAATGTTGGCGAGCTGGAGGAGTGAGGGAGGGCTGGCTGAGTGTGGCTGCTCACACTCGCGGTGTTCTGAGTGTGTTGATGGTGAATGTATATAGTGTGTGACAGTGTATAGTCTGTAAATAGATTGTATATACAGTATACATAAATTAGCATGATACATGGTAAATATGTGCAACATATGTGTACACAAGTGTCATGCACATAACGCTGTGTCCTCAGACAGTATGGATCTTTTACTGCCATAATATAGTGTACGTGTTCATTATACATAGGATTAGCACATAAAAACAAATAAAATGTATTTGGAACTGTGCGCAAAAAATTAACAAAAATATATTCGCGGCAATTCACGTGAACCCCACCCCGGGCGCCCTACTGGCCCCGGGAGCTTACAGCACGGGCGAACGGGGAATAATGATGTCACGCATCAACTTACGGACCTCATAGCAGCCAAAGTAAGTATAAGTTCGAAATTTTTTTGACATACCCATACTGAGGGAAGGGTTTTTGACGCTTTAAAAAACAAAAGAATTTTTTCAAGTGAATTTATTTCCTGCGCACTGGGTCATATTTATAGGCCGCGCAGTTAAAGGGTTAAGTACACCCCCTGCACCTCAGGATTACCTTCCCTGGGGCTTTCAGGTTCCACACTTCCGTAGAGGTTGCGGTCGCTGGATTTCTGCCTCGCCCTTGGGGGTCAGCTTAGGTCTTGATGCTTACGTTTGACCATGGGTATGGAGTGGTGGTTGTTGGTTGGGGCGCACTGGGCTGCACAGTTTGCATAACCGCAACGGCTCTCTCTCTCTCTCTCTCTCTGGCCTCCTGGGTTGTGGTGTTTTCTTGGTTCTTTTCCTCCTTTTAGTTTCTTTGTTTGTTGAGAGGCTGCTGGTGTTCCTATTAGGTGATACCTAGGTTCAGTAAGGAGGTCCTCCTCTGGGCAGCCATGGTTGCCCCCTTCACGGGGGGGGCCAGTTTGCCCGGTTAACATACAGGGATGAACCGGCTTTGGCAGCCTGGGCTTCTCGTAGGGACTCATTCCCCTACAGGCCCCTGGAAACCGCTGTCAGGCTTGGTTGACTGATGGATGTGTCCTCTGAGTCCCATCTCGCCTTGTGCGAGTTTGAAGGTTAGTCGTTGCCTGGTCTCAGGGTGACGACGTTTTTTTTAGATTCAGCTACTCAGAACAAAAAGTTTCAAGTAGCATGGGCTATGGTGAGCCCGTAAGTAATTACCTAAGTAATTACCTAAGTGTAATTACAGGATGAGAGCTACGCTCGTGGTGTCCCGTCTTCCCAGCACTCTTTGTCATATAACGCTTTGAAACTACTGACGGTCTTGGCCTCCACCACCTTCTCACTTAACTTGTTCCAACCGTCTACCACTCTATTTGCGAAGGTGAATTTTCTTATATTTCTTCGGCATCTGTGTTTAGCTAGTTTAAATCTATGACCTCTTGTTCTTGAAATTCCAGGTCTCAGGAAGTCTTCCCTGTCGATTTTATCAATTCCTGTAACTATTTTGTATGTAGTGATCATATCACCTCTTTTTCTTCTGTCTTCTAGTTTTGGCATATTTAATGCTTCTAACCTCTCCTCGTAGCTCTTGCCCTTCAGTTCTGGGAGCCACTTAGTAGCATGTCTTTGCACCTTTTCCAGTTTGTTGATGTGCTTCTTAAGATATGGGCACCACACAACAGCTGCATATTCTAGCTTTGGCCTAACAAAAGTCATGAACAATTTCTTTAGTATATCGCCATCCATGTATTTAAATGCAATTCTGAAGTTAGAAAGCATAGCATAGGCTCCTTGCACAATATTCTTTATGTGGTCCTCAGGTGATAGTTTTCTATCTAGAACCACTCCTAGATCTCTTTCTTTATCAGAATTCTTTAAAGATTTCTCACATAATATATAGGTTGTGTGGGGTCTATGTTCTCCTATTCCACATTCCATAACATGACATTTATTAACATTAAATTCCATTTGCCAAGTGGTGCTCCATATACTTATTTTGTCCAGGTCTTCTTGAAGGGCATGACAGTCATCTAAATTTCTTATCCTTCCTATTATCTTAGCATCATCAGCAAACATGTTCATATAATTCTGTATACCAACTGGTAGATCATTTATGTACACAATAAACATCACTGGTGCAAGAACTGAACCCTGTGGTACTCCACTTGTGACATTTCTCCATTCTGATACATTGCCTCTGATTACTGCCCTCATTTTTCTATCAGTCAGAAAATTTTTCATCCATGATAGAAGCTTACCTGTCACCCCTCCAATATTTTCCAGTTTCCAGAACAA